GCCGGCTTGGTGGGGGGGGGGGCGTTCCGGGAGCGGGTATGGATAGTGGGGTGGCCGCAAGGGCTGGAGCGGCAGCAGGCACCAATCTCTGCACCAGGGTCTGCAGGTGGTTGCAGATGGCACAGCCCTGGTCGAGCAGCTCCCGCAAGCTCTCCCGCCCAGTGCTCCTGGCAGCAGACCTGCCTTCGCAGGAGCCCCAGGTGCTGCTGCTGGTGGTACTCCTGGTTCCAGGTCTACCTGCTGAGGGCCCGGGTGCAGGAGGATATCCTGGGTGAGGTGGTGCGCCCTGCACTCTCAGGTGCTGCAGCTATGGAGAAACATGAGAAATGGTCAGTTCTCCCTAGGGACACAGTGGGTGAAGCCCAGCCCCCCTCTGCAAGGCGAAGATGGCAGGTCCCTGCACTATCATGTCCTGCTATCCCCAAAGTGTGAGCTGGCCCCTGTGCTGTATATAGTGGGGCGGGGGGAGGAGATGTGCCCTGCTTCTGTGTAGAGGGGGCTTGTGGAGGTAGGGCACTGCTCAGTGTCCCTCCCTGGGGTCAAGAGCATGTCATGTGCCTTCATATATACATGTGTGTGGGTAACAGGCCAGGGCCCCTGTGTGGCAGCCAGCTGGGGCCACATGCCCAGGGGGGCATGGCACATGCACAGATTGCTGTGCTCCATGGTCAGCAAGGACCACAGGTGGGGTCCCTGGTCCTCCCCCCTACCCTGCGTAAGGGGACAGTGATGGCACTCACATGTCGAGGTCTCCCCGGCCTCGGATCACACCTGCGACAGACTATGATTTCATAATCACCGGATTATGAAAATGAATAATTGTACACTCTCCTTCCCTGCCTAATTTAATCATATCATTTCCTTCTTCGAATCCCTCCATTGGCTCCCAATCACGATCTCATCAAGTTTCCTTTTGGTCACCATCTTCAAGAGCGTACAGAATAGGGATGTTAAAATGTGGTTAATTGACTAGTCGATGGAATTTCCATTGACTACTCCTCTAGTCGATAGGCACTTCCTCACTCCCAGTGGGCTCTTGTATCTTTCAAAGGAGGAGTGCAGAACTCCGCGTACAGCCTGGGTCCAGTGGGAAGTCCCGCTGACTCCGGGCTGTATGCAGCTGCCTGCTTTGAAATGTACAAGAGTCCCCAGCAGGTGCTCTTGTGCATTTTAAAGCCACGGAGCCCGGGATCAGCTGGGGAGTCTCTGGCTTAGCTGTGCGGTGCTGCCCCTTTGAAATGCCAAGGCCTCTGTATTTTAAAGCCACGGAGCCCGGGATCAGCTGGGGAGTCTCTGGCTTAGCTGTGCGGTGCTGCCCCTTTGAAATGCCAAGGCCTCTGTATTTCAAAGGTGCAGCTGTGGAGCCCGGAGTCCCCAGCTGACCTTGGGCTCCATGCTTTGGTGTTTTAAAGGGCCAGCGCCGCACAGCTGAACCATGAATCAGGTGTGCGGCGGCTGCCCCTTTGAAACACCGCCTTGGGGTTTCAAAGTGACGGCGCCACACCGTGATCCCCAGCTCAGCTGTGTGGCGCTGCCACTTTGAAGTACCCCTTTGCCCCCCCTTTGCTGCCTCTATTTCAGAGGCAGCGGGGGGAGGGAGAGGAGAAGAATCGACTAGTTGACAGACTAATCGACTAGTCCTTAACATCCTTACCTTTAAATACAATGCAGTGTATAGACACTGCAGCCTGCCCCACAGAGCTCATATTCTAAGTAGGGAAGACTGATAAATAGGCAACATAAAAGCAAAATATTTGTTGGTTGTGTTTACTTTTTCATGGAAGGTAGTATTTGGTTAAACTCATGAGAAGCATTAACATGCATGGACCATACATCTTACAATACAGGCAGTCCCCGACTTACGTGGATCCGACTTACGTCGGATCCCTAGATACGAACGGGGTGAGGCAACTCCCGCACATGCGCAGCAGCATTCCCGGGGCTCGCTCACCTGGGTCCTAGGATCCTCCTCCTCCTCGGGCCGGCTCCGACTGGGGTCCCGCAGAGCTGCCGGGCAGAGGAAAAGTGCCTCCCCACGCCCGCTGTCCCCCCCCCCCTCCTGCCAGCAACAGGCTGCCCCCTCCCCTGAGCAACAGGCTGCCGAACAGACAAAAGCAGCCTCTCTGCCCCTCCTCCCCTCTATACATGCCGGGCTCCTGGAGCGCAGCAGCGTCCCGGGGCTCGCTCACCTGGGTCCTAGGATCCTCCTCCTCCTCGGGCCGGCTCCGACTGGGGTCCCGCAGAGCTGCCGGGCAGAGGAAAAGTGCCTCCCCACGCCCGCTGTCCCCCCCCCCCTCCTGCCAGCAACAGGCTGCCCCCTCCCCTGAGCAACAGGCTGCCGAACAGCAGACAAAAGCAGCCTCTCCACCCCTCCTCCCCCTATACATGCTGGGCTCCCTGGGCAAACAAAGACTCCACCAAAACAAACGAAGAGCTGGCCTCATTGTGTTAGCAAAAAAAGGACCCTCCTCCTAGAACCCTGGGTGGTGTGTGGAAATAAAGCTATTAGCTCAAAGCATGGTGCAGAGCTGTTTGGTATTTGATGAGTTACTCCTTTAGTCCTGAGTTTGTCACAGGGACAGAAATAGATGTGAAATCTTCTGAACAGGGGAACAGACAGCAAAACAAACATTAGAGGGGAGTTAACCTTTCCCTATGCTATCCAAAACTAAAAAAAATGTTTGGCTAGAGTTTCCCCTACAATATGTACCAGTTCCGACTTACATACAAATTCAACTTAAGAACAAACCTACCGTCCCTATCTTGTACGTAACCCGGGGACTGCCTGTAACTGACATTCTTGGATTTTTTCCAGTGCTTGGTAATGGCTGACTTTGGAGCGAACCAGGACTGAGGGGTGCAAATGTTTCAAAAGAGTCATGCCTGGCATTTTGAGCAGCACAGCAAGAATCTCTCTCCCCTCCTTATGGTTGGCAGCTTGTGTCTGAGCTTGGAGGAGCCAGCGAGAACACAAACTGCCATCACTATAAAGTTCTATTGAGTGGCTTAAAACTGCAGATTTTCTTTAATTCTGGTACAGCTTGCAACTTAAGCGCTCTTGTACCCTGCTTTCCTTGGGCCATTTAATCATTTTATGAGAGTTTGCTGCTTGAACACCAGCCCTAGATACTAGTGTTGTAAGTTCAGTTTCTGGAAGTTAGTTGTTTTTGTCAGATTTTCTTCATTAAATCAGTAGTTTTGATGTATTTATCCATACTGTCATGGGCAAAATCAAAATTCTTCCTGAGGTCTATAAACACACTGTGAAATAAGCTATTCTAAATAAGCTGTTCTGGTTTTCCAGTGGCCATACCGTGGTCGACGAGAAGAGAAAAGCTTCCTTTATGAGATAGTGGCTAACAAAAGAAATGGCATTGATGTTGACAAGTGGGATTACTTTGCCAGGTACAAATTTTCCTGATCTTAGTTTTATTATATACAAACAAAACAAGTGCCCAATACTTCTGCTTTTATTTTAAATAAGATTTCACTATTGAATGTTTAACTCATTCTCTCTGGAAAACTTCTAGGGATTGCCATCACTTAGGAATCCAGAATAATTTCGATTATAAGCGCTTCCTTAAATTTGCTCGTGTCTGTGAAGTGAAAAGCAAGAAGCATATCTGCACCCGTGACAAGGTAAACAGCCTTGGGGAAAACAGCGAGTGTAATGCAATGAAGTATTCCTCTCTTGTACCAACATAACCTGCAATAAAATGAACAGAGGTCAGTGCTGCTCAACGAATGGCATGCAGCCCTGATGTGGGTTGCATGGGGGAGCCTAGCAGGTTTGCTAGCATAGTGGTGGAGAAAGGAAAGCAGCAAAAATCCCTGGGTTGATGGCAGCCTAAGGAAGTTGGGCAAGGAATTGAAGGAGCAGCTCATTCCTTCCCCCTTCTCTTGTTAATTCCACCATTCCTTTAGAGGCATTTGGAGTAAAGTGAGCACACGGACCAGGAGCTGAGGGATGCACACAGTGATGCCACAGTCTGAATTTTTTGTCTACTTTCTCATTAACTAAAAATGGATGAACTACGATTTTAGGTAGGGTGTTTGTTTAGTGGGAATCCTATTCCACTTATTTATAAATGATCTAGAGAAAGGGGTAACAGTGAGGTGGCAAAATTTGCAGATGAGACCAGACTGCTCAAGATAGGTAATCCGAAGCTGACTGTGAAGAGCTTCAAAAAGATCTCACCAAACTAAGTGATTGGACAACAAAACGGCAAATAAAATTTAATGTTAATAAATGTAAAGTAATTTACATTGGAAAAAATAATTCCAAGTATATAGACAAAATGATAGGGACTAATTTAGCTAAAACTACTCGAGAGAGAGAGAGATCTTGGAGTCATTGTGGATAGTTCTCTGAAAACATCCACCACTGTGCAGCAGCAGTCAAAAAAGCAAATAGCTGTAAAAAATCAGTATTTCTGATCTTATTGCTGATGGTAACCATCTGGCCGAAAAGTAAAATAATTTTGTAGGTTTAATGATGCAGCAACCAGATGTCCAGGACTATAACTCGTGAACTATACTTAATTCTGGGAGAAAAAAGATTGCATGAATAAAAATTACTTTCTGCTTTGTAAACATGAAACACATTGAAAATATTAGACTTAAAAGAAGGGCTTAGACATCAAAGGAACAGTCAGAGGTTACAATGGACTACCCCCAGTAGAGAGCTTTCACGCTTACTGCGTGTTCATACTGCCCATTGGTTATGGTGCTGATCACTTTGTAAAGCATCACAAATGGAATAAAGCATCAGGCATAAGTCTGTCTGTTTGATACAACTTCCAGCGGCAAAGCTCTTTTCTCTTGCATTGTTAGAATGTAGTATATGATTCCTCGAAAATTATTTTCAAAATCGATCCTCTTTGTTGCTCAGTCACCTTAGAATCATAGGACTGGAAGGGACCTCGAGAGGTCATCGAGTCCAGCCCCCCGCCCTCAAGGCAGGACCAAGCTCCATCTACACCATCCCTGACAGATGTCTATCTAACCTGTTCTTAAATATCTCCAGAGAGGGAGATTCCACCACCTCCCTTGGCAATTTATTCCAATATTTGACCACCCTGACAGTTAGGAATGTTTTCCTAATGTCCAATCTAAACCTCCCCTGCTGCACTTTAAGCCCATTACTCCATGTCCTGTCCTCAGAAACCAAGAGGAACAAATTTTCGCCTTCCTCCTTGTGACACCCTTTTAGATATTTGAAAACCACTATCATGTCCCCCCTTAATCTTCTTTTTTCCAAACTAAACAAGCCCAGTTCATGAAGCCTGGCTTCATAGGCTTCTCTAGACCTTTAATCATTCTTGTCGCTCTTCTCTGTACCCTTTCCAATTTCTCCACATCTTTCTTGAAATGTGGCGCCCAGAACTGGACACAGTACTCCAGCTGAGGCCTAACTAGCGCAGAGTAGAGCGGCAGAATGACTTCACGAGTTTTGCTTACAACACACCTGTTAATACAACCTAGAATCATATTTGCTTTTTTTGCAACAGCATCACACTGTTGACTCATATTCAACTTGTGGTCCACTATGACCCCTAGATCCCTTTCCGCCATGCTCCTTCCTAGACAGTCGCTTCCCATCTTGTATGTATGGAACTGATTGTTCCTTCCTAAGTGGAGCACTCTGCATTTCTCCTTATTAAACCTCATCCTGTTTACCTCTGACCATTTCTCTAACTTGCTAAGGTCATTCTGAATTATGTCCCTATCCTCCAAAGAAGTTGCAACCCCACCCAGTTTGGTATCATCTGCAAACTTAATAAGAGTACTCTCTATCCCAATATCTACATCATTGATGAAGATATTGAACAGTACGGGTCCCAAAACAGACCCTTGAGGAACTCCACTTGTTATCCCTTTCCAGCAGGATTTAGAACCGTTAACAACAACTCTCTGACTACGGTTATCCAGCCAATTATGCACCCACCTTATCGTGGCCCTATCTAAGTTATATTTGCCTAGTTTATCAATAAGAATATCATGCGAGACCGTATCAAATGCCTTACTAAAGTCTAGGTATATGACATCCACCGCTTCTCCCTTATCCACAAGGCTCGTTATCCTATCAAAGAAAGCTATCAGATTAGTTTGGCATGACTTGTTCTTCACAAACCCATGCTGGCTATTCCCTATCACTTTATTACCTTCCAAGTGTTTGCATATGATTTCCTTAATTACCTGCTCCATTATCTTCCCTGGGACAGACGTTAAACTGACCGGTCTATAATTTCCTGGGTTGTTCTTATTCCCCTTTTTATAGATGGGCACAATATTTGCCCTTTTCCAGTCTTCTGGAATCTCCCCTGTCTGCCATGATTTTTCAAAGATCATAGCTAAAGGCTCAGATACCTCCTCTATCAGCTCCTTGAGTATCCTGGGATGCATTTCATCAGGACCTGGTGACTTGCTGACATCTAACTTTCCTAAGTGATTTTTAACTTGTTCTTTGTGTATCCTATCTTCTAAACTTACCCTCTCTCTGCTTGTATTCACTACGTTAGGCACACCTCCAGACTTCTCGGTGAAGACCGAAACAAAGAAGTCATTGAGCATCTCCGCCATTTCCAAGTTCCCTGTTACTGCTTCTCCCTCCTCACTAAGCAGTGGGCCTACCCTGTCCTTGGTCTTCCTCTTGCTTTTAATGTATTTATAAAAGGTCTTCTTGTTTCCCTTTATGCCTGTAGCTAGTTTGATCTCATTTTGTGCCTTTGCCTTTCTAATCTTGCCCCTGCATTCCCGTGTTGCTTGCCTATATTCATCCTTTGTTAGTTGTCCTAGTTTCCATTTTTTATATGACTCCTTTTTTATTTTGAGATCGTGCAAGATCTCCTTGTTAAGCCAAGCTGGTCTTTTGCCATATTTTCTATCTTTCCTACACAGCGGAATTGTTTGCTTTTGGGCCCTTAACAACGTCCCTTTGAAATACTTACGGTCTCTTTAATCACAGCTATGGAAGCCAGAATAGAAGAAGCACAGTAAAAATGGGACTGTACGCACATCATAACAAATCCAGATGTAGAAGCTGCTCCTGACTTCAGAATAGCGAATATCACCCATTTTGTTGTACGGTGGAAACTGAACTGTGACAGTTGCATTCTTTTGAATCCTGAGTGTAGTACACAGTAGACTTAAGTCAATATAGAAATAAAAAGTAACTTCATCTTTTGATACAGGAGGTTGGAAATCTATATGACATGTTCCATACACGGAACTGCTTGCACCGCAGAGCTTACCAGCACAAGGTTGGCAACATCATTGAAACCATGTAAGTGTCTGTTGTATATTTTGAATGTTCATGGCTAAGACTAGTATTTTATCATGGAATCTGTGACTTGCAGAGACCTCTGTGACTTCAGCCAGTGGCAACAGGGAGTTGTAGGGCCCCCATAGTGGCTGGGAACTATGAGTATCTCCCACTGCCTCAGGCGGCAGGACCCTCTGGAGTGCCAGCCATTGCAGGTGGTGGAGGTATTCTGCAGCTCTTGGGAGCCCTGGGCTGCAAGAGGGCCCTGGAGCGTCAACTCCCTAGGGGTGTTGGAGGCCCCTTGAGCTCTGAGTGGGGAGCCTAGCTGTTATGCTTATAAGCATCACACGGGCTCTTTTTCAGGGGAAAAGGCAATACACTGTTTATTGAGAATACAGTAGAGAAGCAGTTAGCATCTGCTTTATGACGACACACACACACACATACCCCTGCAGATGGTGCATAGTTACCAGTCCATGGTGGCTCAAGTCAGTCTTACTGGCAAGGCTGACTGAGTGAGGAGTTGGGGGTCTTCTGATTGCGATTCGAGGCTCCTCCGAGGTTTGGCTTGCAGTACTGAACCCAGAGTCCCGTGGCAAGGGCTTCCTTGCTTATCCATATCCATTCCCATTTGGGTCTATGGATACTGCAGTGTCATGCTGCCGTCATCCACCCTTAGGAGGTTCTAATCTGTGTTTTTGGGAGTTATCCTTTGGTGATTGTCAGGCCGCCCATCATTGTCTCACTCTTGGGAGGCTCTCTGCCTGTCTCCAAGGTCGCCAATGCTGCCAGTTTTTAATTCAGCCTCAAAACACAATGCATGTTTCCTCGTTATCTTCAAAGTTTCCACTTCTTGATTACCTGGGCATCTGTGCTGGCTTTCACACACTCACACAGCCTTCACTCACACCACACAATTGTACAGAGTTTCAGATGTGATCAAGAATTACTAGAAGACAACTTAGTTTGATGCAGAGATGAGGTACAACTTAATTTGTAATGCTAACAGGGAGCAAGGCCTTACAGTAAACACCTAATCAAGAGAGAGAGAAATAGAAGCATACCGAACTTATAAGCAAGTCATTATACATGAAATCATTATGCATCATACTTCTAGTCTGATACCCAATACTAACCAATATGAAAATATACATTTTTTGCTACACTGCAGCTGCCCAGTCATTGTGGGCAGTGTGGGGACTCCACAGCTCCCCTTTTTGTCATGGATATTTTGGTAAATTCAGGGGCAGGTCTTAAGCTTCTGTGAGTTATTTTTGTTGCCGAGGATTGGTCTGTGACTTTTATTAAAAATATCCAGGACACAGTCTTAGCCTCATTCCTGGTAAGTTGCTGAGATGAATGAAAACCTGCAGTTAGGGTTTCTGTGGAACCAAGCATGTGTATTTGTCTCTGTAGAAGGCACAATGAAGTTTTCTAAATGCAGTTTTATAGGATCCTCTATACCCTAATTTCTGAGCATGCCATGGTCCACTCATCACACTAAAATATAGCCTGTCACCTTTTGGTTCTAAATAAACTGATTCTTTTTTTTAAAGAGACTAATGCATTTCAAAAAAAAAAAATCAATCTGAGCTCAATATCTTTCCAACTACTAGAAATACCTTCATTCCTCTGAACTTCAGTAGTCATAAACAGATTTAGCAGAACATTTTTGGGATATATAAATAAGAAGATAGAAAGTGGTGTACAATTCACTGATTTCCATTGGGTTACTCAAGACTTAACTTTAAATACACGTTTAAAGTTCTGCAGTGGTGGAGGTTGTGCTTTTGTTCATAAATAGAAATCACAAAAAAGAGTATAAGAGCTCTTTCTGACCATACTGAGAACTCAGATTGGCAGCAGATTGATCAATCCCAGTAATAGAGCAGATGTCTTTTGTGACCAGTTGCCTCGCTGAGGATGTCATCTGATGTCCTGAGATACCTGGGCACCCTTGCTGAGCTCTTAAGCCTCCTCCAGCACACACCCAACTACATAACAATATGGTCATGGAGGTCAGCTCTGGCAAGGCTCAGTTTAAGGGACTTGCCCCCCAGCTCTCAGGTGCCCACCTCACTAAGAGTGCAGACTCAAAATTATATGAAATTCCCCTCCTCCCTCAATCTGCGTAGCCTCTTCTCCCCCATCTCCCACTATGAACTGTACAAATGGGGTTCTGTTATATTAAATGATGTTATGAATAAGAGATAAGTTTAACTACAAAAGGTGCATTTCACTTGAGTATAAGGGATAGCAAATAGAACAAAGAAAATTACTAAGTGAATAAAACAAAGTATCCAAATGATGCTTGATTCACTAAAGAATTTGGTTATAAATAGTAGTTCCTTGCTCTAGCTATTTTGTTGCAAGCAGATTACAGAAAGTCTTGAAAGGCAGTTGTCTAGACCTGCAACTTGAGACCTCAGGTATTATGACCTGGTCGCCATTCCAGCATGGGCCCACTCTTCTTCCCCCATGTCAGTTCTTGCTTCAAAGTGTTTTTCAGTGTCTCTTTGCAAGGGGAGGCAGAGGAGAATCCCAGTGTCCCCTGCCATATACAGCAGTCATGTGAGACAGGAATCCGGCCTTCCAGTGGCAAAGCACTAGCATTCTAAGAGGAGTCCACTGTCAGGTGTCTTTGCAGGGCTGTGGCAGCCATTACTCGTGGGCTGTTCTGAGAGTCCATAGGAAGGCTAGGCTCTTTTACACGTCTGGGCTAACGGGCCATCAGCCCTGGCTGACTTTTAGTTGTTGTATCTGAAGGTCTAGTTGTGGGTGGTGCACAAAGTAGCACACATGTAATGCAGATACACAATCAATATTCCTAACTTCAGATACAGAGATGATACAGGCAAACAAATGGGATAATCACATTCAGTAAATCATAACCTTTCCAGCGATACCATACATATGCCATCTGCCATAAAATACATCTTAGTTATGTCACATCCATAGCATGAGCAAATTTTCATAAAGAATATAGAGTGCAATGTCACACTCTTCATACTGCCTTTTTCTCCATAGATGCTGGATGTCTTTGAATTTGCAATTTAGGAGGAGCTTAACTATTTTACAAAAATTGTCTTTTTAAATCATTTTTGCCACATATGTAGTTATGACATATTGATACACTAATACATAGAACTTATATGGCACCTTGTCTCTAAAAATGCTTTACAGACATTCATCCAGCTTAGTTATTAATTCATGGAGTATTTAGTTACCACCAAGTGTGTTCTGCTGTGCAGTACTTCTGCATTACAACAGTCTGAGCATTGGTCATTGACCTCCAGACTCCTATAGTCAACCAAATAGCAATGCCAAACATTCAGTCTGAAGCACTACATAGAAATAAATTTCTAGCTCATCCAAATTACAGGTTTTTAAGTGAAAGCACTTAACTAGTTAACTAGTCAAAAGGTTGGTTATTTACTGTCTGTCAGTGCACAAGCTTGAGCAACCATGCTTAGTTACAAGCCCAGTTTAGTCAATGGAAGATGTTGCAGTATCACTGACTTCTCCTGGCTTTGTGTCTGCAATGATTATTTGCTAATGGTACATTATTTGTAAACATTGTGGCTTTTTACTTTCTCTTTTTAAAACACTAAATCTATATCCCGTGTTTCAAAATAGGATTACAGATGCCTTCCTAAAAGCAGATCCCTATATTAAAATAGCAGGCGCTGGAGGAAAACACTACAAAATTTCTACAGCAATGGAGGATATGGAAGCTTACACCAAACTGACAGGTAAACTTTCATTGGTGACATGTTCATGACAGCTTACATGGTGTATCTATTTAAAGTAAGTGAGGCAGAATCTGAATTTTTAAAATTTGCACATAGTTTTGTCTTTAAATGTTCACACTTATGAGGCATGGAATGTGTCAGACAATTATTAACTACAGTTGACTTGTAGGTTTTAGGGCCTACATATAGTCTGATATCCTGTACGTTGCAGGCCACAGAACCTTGCTCACCCCTTCCTGCAATAGTCCTATAACCTCTGAGTGAGTTAATGAAGTCCTCAGATCTTGATTTGAAGACTTCAAGTTACAGAAAATCCACCATTTACTTTAGATCAGACCAGCAAGTGGCCTGTGCCCTGTGTCACACAAAAAGGTGAAAAACCTCTTTCAGCCTGGACTGAAGAAAAATTCCTGACCTCAAATGTGGTGATCATTAAAGCCTAGTGCATGTGGGCAAGACCCACCTGTTAGACACCTGAAGGAGAATTCTTTGTAGCAACTCAAGCCACTTCATCTAGTATCCCATCTCTGGCCTCTGGAGATACTTGTTAGTGGTCACAGATGGGGTGTATGCCTTTGTAGGCAGCCTCATCACACCATCCCCTCATAAACTTAGCATTACTTCCCATGAATGTAAACAATCCCATGAATGCAAACAAGTTTATTTCTGTAAGCAGCTGGTTGAAAAAGAAGTTGGACTGAGTGGACTTGGAGGCTAACTGAGCACTGTACACTTTGTATTCTTTGGTAATTGAAATAAATAAATATTAAAAGATAGAACATCCAAGAATATTTATAAGAAGTTGAAATTGGTATTCTGTGTTAACAGCATGATTAAAACGGCAATTAATGGGATTAGTGGTGACTTTTTTAATCTTGCAGCTAATTATGATTATTATTTTTTAATAGTTTGACAGTCCTAATTTGTAGAGTGCAATTGTAACTCCCCTTAGCCTTCATTTTGTTAGACTATATAAGCTAAGCTCCTTAAAATCTGCTCTTATAAGGTAGACACTCCATTCCTAGTAGCCCTCTCTGCATTTGTCCCAGTTTGGATTCCTCTCTTTCTTAAGCATGGTTGCACACAGTACAAGTGACTCCCACACTTAGGACCTAATTGGTTCCTGGAGAACCATTGCAAGTCGCGCCGTTGTAAGCCAAACCCTTTTTCCCCATAGGTGCAATGATAAAAATGGAGGTTCCATTCTGGCCCCCTTTGCTCCTGGGAGTTGTAGTCCACAGCATGCTGGGCCCAGAGCTGGTGGGGGCTGTGCCAGGTGGAGGCAGCGCGGCACAAGCTGCTCGCAGAGCCGGCTGGGGGCTGTGCCGGGTGGACACTACAATTGTGTAGCTTATTTCAAAATTGGGAGTGCCCACACAGCACTTACTTTGAAATAGGGCACTCTTCCTCAGACTTCCCTTACTCCTTGTACAACGAGGGTTACAGGAGTCGGAGTAAGAAGTCCTCCAGCTTGACAGTATTTTGACATTATTTCAAAATAAGTGCCTGCTGCGTAGACGTAGATAAGTTATTTTGAAATAATGTTGCTGTGTAGACGTATCCTAAGACTGAACAGGGGGAAGGATTGAGCCCAAGCTAGGAGGCTGCTTAGCTTGTGCAATGAATGTTTAGAAAAACTGTTCAGAGTGATAGAGATGCAGCTGTGTTAGTCTGGCCTTGCTGAAACAACAGACAGGACTATGCAGCACTTTCAAGACTAACAGGGTTTATTAAACCATCCTGTTAGTCTTTAACGTGCTGCATAGTCCTGTCTTTTGGTCAGAGTAAGACTGTGCCATCTAATAAGTTTCTTAGTGGCTTAGGGTCAGCTGGCATGCTCTGTTTATTTTGGTTTAGTAATTTATTTTGATCCGTCTGTTTTCATTTGCCATCACTTAAATATAACAAGTATAAAAAGACTTTTCATGAAGCCCAGTGTAAATAATTGCTACCTGGAGGAGGAGGAGCAGCCACTGTGCATGTGTCTGAATGATAAAGGGGACTGACCTTATGATCTTCCTCTGTGTAAAATGTTTTCATAGGGTAAGATGGATTTATTTGGGGGTTTGGTCCTGGGTGGCACAAATAGCTCTGAAACTGAGCTCTCCCAGAGCTGAGCTGGCTCAGTGTCTATGGTGCTCTGTGGGTGGAGGGGAAAGGAGATAACCCCAACTCTGTGCCTTGGCTGGGGCAGACCAGAGCTTCTGGCCCAGCCAGAGAGAGTGATGAGGAGCCCCAGAGGGCGGGAATGCGGGTTCAGTGGCTACATCGGCACATTGAGGGCTAACCCCAACGGGACTTCTGTGATCTAACCCAGCACAGAGCTTTGGCAGCATTCCTACTAATTTTGAGAGGTTCAGCTTTTCTGATCATGACTGACACTACAGCAGTGTGTTATATCTGGACTCAGCCCTTTTATCGAGAAGCAGATTAGCGTTGGATTTGATGCCTGTAACCTGTTAATCCCAAAGTGCTTTTAGCAGACTGGCAGCATGTTCTGGCAAATCATCTCGACAGACAGTAGCTTCTTTAGACCCACTATTGAGGACTCGGTCTCCTCCACCAGGGCTCAAGCAGCTTCTGCAGCCTCTTTGAGAAGTGTCCCGCTAGTGGAATTCTGTGCATGCCCTTCTCAAACACTACTCCCTAGTAGAATCAGCAAGTTCTGATGCTCGCTTTGCCACAGTTGTGTTGTATTCTTTGCGAGAATTGACTTCTAGCACCCACATCCTGTGATCTAGGTCATTGCTTCTGAACCAGATAGTGGAATGTACATGGATAAGCCCCCGAAGACACAAGTTACTTACCTTACAGCAACTGAGGTTTTTTTGATGTGTTGTCCATATATACCATGACTTGCCTCCCTCCTCCTGCTACTGTACTACAGTCTGGTAGCACTGGGATTTTGTATCCTCAGAGGAATGAGGGGATGGTTGGGGTCACTCAGCCTTTAGGATAGTTACAGCCACACACAGACATTGCTGCCTGAAAGACTCCAAGCAGAAATCTGGGGGGTGCATGTTTCACCATCAGTGGAAACACATCAAAGAACCAGATCGAGAT